TTGTAAAACGATAAGAGTAAAAATGAACGATAACGGCAAAACCTTGTAAAACGATAAGAGTAAAAACCAACGATAGCAGGATTAAGGGTCATTTAGATGGGTGGGGGGTTTTCATCACCCCTCACATCTACATGCATTTCGAGAAAAAAAGAGCGACAGCAGGGACAAACAATCGGACTTGGTTCCTGATTGCGTAACAAGTTGAAAGGGGATGCAGTATGAGCCGCTGCACATTGCAGGCTGATGTTCGCACTTTGACAGCAGCTCTCTCCAGTTTGGACTGGGAGAAGGACGGATGGTAACATTCCTTTTGGCGCACAAGCATGTGGATTGATCTTCGAACATCTAGCAGGCGGCCAGTACTGAACCTTATGCAGATCTTGGCTTGACAGCAGGAAGGTCGTATCAAGCTGGAAGGAAGAGTGACCCGTATGACACGGGGAATTTCCGACTCCTACCTGTACAGAGGACGCTTGTGCGTGGACACGAGCCGTGGCCCTTTTTCGTCGAGCCCGCGCCGCTGCGTTGGACCCGGACAACGTTCCCTGACCAAAGGTGTTTTTGCAGCTTGGCATGGGAGTTCAGTCCTGAAAGTCTGCGGCAACTGAGGTTTTCTGCTGTTCCACTATCAGCATCTGCCGGGACCGTCCTGGCAAAGCCTTCTGAGGCCATTCAAAGTTAATGTGGCTTGCGCAGAGGAGCCCTGGCGCTGGGCTTTGCAGTGCTTTTCGCTGCTTCATGGGCGACGCCTACAGACCGGCGACGTGGCGGTCGGCACGGCAGTGAAGGAGAGATTCAAACAGGGTGCAGCTTAGGTGGATCATTTCAGATCGGTCATATGTTGGGAGAGCTTGGAACTGCAGAATTTGCAGTTGTCGGGTGGGTGCTGCTGTGCATGATGATGAAGATGACGACGATGATGATGTCGTAGGACTCTTTCGGTTCTTTTGCTGTGTCACAGAGAAGGCGGTGCAAGGCAGAAGGATTCAAAGTTGCTGGTGAAGCCGCCATGCTTTCAGAGGCTTTCGAGCTGAACTCGAAATGGACCCCAGCCTTATCACTGCTGGTGGCGGTCGCAAGCAAAGGTCTTCGGCAAAGTTTCTTGGGCGGAAAAGGTGAACAGGTTCAGAGCCTCTGCGACGTGCTGCGCTCGAAGCGAGCTCTTGCTCAGGTGCGGCTGCAAGCCTTGCTGCTTGTGGTGCGGGCGGGCAGGTTGCTTGACGCTAATGTTCCCGTCAGCGCTTTGGCATTTAGATGCGGAAGGCGGCTCTCCGAGCTTGAGCTGCTGTGCTCAGGTTTCATCGTGGCAGCAGAGCATTCTGTTGAATGGCCAGAGCGCTGCGGCTGCAGTGGCTGCTTGCGGCCGAGGCTGGTAACAGCTCATAGCTGACAGTCTCTTTATTCACGCCATATCTACGCACATGTCCTTCAGATCAGGGAGAAAGGATGGGATATACTGGCCTCAAGCGCAGCTAGCATACGCAGATGAGCTCACGCGGCATCAATGGTTGTCACAGCATGTCACAGCGGCCAGGGTCAGCGGAGCTCTTTAAAGGCTTGCTGCATGGTGTGCAGCAGAGAAAGATTCATGTCAGACCTGTTGCAAGGCGCTG